ATTGGCTTTTGAAAGCCAATAGAATTAGACTCTATTTAAGAGAGTCTATTCCATTGGCTTTCAAAAGCCAATAGAATAAAAGGGAGTAGCACAGCTAAGGAAAAGGGGGAAAAAAATGGGGGACTGCATTGTTTGGTGACCTCCGTGAAATGGTCGTTCGACCCCAAATGGGGTCCCGACCGACAGGTTGAGAATCACTGCTCTATTCAGAGAAATATTGTTCTGGGTAAAGGAATGGAATACATAATTAAAAAATCTTCTCCCTATGTTAACCTAGAAGAACACTTACTTTTAAAAGGATATTTATATTTTTAATATTCCTGAATTAACCATTAGCCAGTTATTTTGCAATTATATACAATTATGCAACACACTGATTATTAAGTAAGTGAAGCAATTATGTATAAACTCAATTCAAATAAGGCTGTCCCAAAGTTCTAATATAACTGCTTTGAGAGTCATATTATTTCATTGCTTATCTTTAGTATATTCCTAAATAAAATCAAGTGACTATATTGTATTACATCTAGGAGTAATTTCACTGCAGATCATAAAAACACATACACATAATTCTTATTATATTCCTAACTCAAGACAGGTTCATGATGCAGACTACTTCCTTGATATCCAGGGACAGAACTACTGCTCAAGTATAACGTTGAGTATAACATCCTTTACGTGGAAAATTATTTTAATCAATTAATGTTTCCATTTTCCTAGCATCATCTTCTTCATCATCCAGATGACTTTCCCCACTTTCCTGGAGGTAGTTTTTGAGACCAAGAAATGGCAGGTATAAATTGAAAGCATGCTTCCATGTTCAGATAGATAAGGAGTCTTTGGATTTCATCAACATGCTTACAGGGATATTCTTAAATTATTAAACCTGTGGCTTGAGTAGCATAAGAAAATATGTATGACACACATAAGGAAATGTGAAATGCTAGGTTAAATTTTTAAAGCAGGTCTTGTTTACTTTGTCAACAAAGATACAATATAAAAAAATCTCAGTGAAATGAGAATTAGCAAAATATATTGCTAACATATATTGCATACCAACAAAATGTGTGTACTGAAATGTATGAACAAGATAAATAATGAAACCACTTGCTTTTCCTCTCCTTCTTACTCCTTTTGTGTCTTTTCCTGTCTTGTGTCCTTTTAAGATTAAAGGAATTTCTTGTTTGTTTGTTTATTACTATGCAAAATCACTACTTGAAATATTCTTTTACTTGAGAAAATGTAAAACTACATGGTGCCAAGGATTGAATTTTTCCAGTTTTGAGTACTGCAAATCTTCTTTGAAAGGATAGTTGTTCCAGCTCATGGCTTTAGGTTTTCTTTTTTGAATACAATAAAACCTCCATAGTTAACCACCTCCCTATATTGACAACCTCCCTAAATTGACCTAATTTTCATAGACCGGACATATATGTACACAATAGAAAGCCAATCTCTCTATATTGACCACCTCTGTAAGTTGTATCTTGACCTCCTGGACCTTAACACACAGTATTAATTTACTCTCTATAACAGTGGTTCTCAACCTTCCTAATGCCGCGAGCCTTTAATACAGTGCCTCATGTTGTGGTGACCCCCAACCCCCTATCCAGCTGGCCGGGGGGTATCAAAAACTTGACCCCCCCCAAAAAAGGAAAAAAATGGGAAAGTATAGGTAGTCCTCGACTTACAACAATTCGCTTAGTGAGTGTTAGAAGTTACAACAGCACTGAAAAAGCGAATTATGATCATTTTTCACACTTATGATTGTTGCAGCATCCCCAGGGTCATGTGATTTACATTCGGATGCTTGACAACTGATTCATACTTATGACATTCACAGTGTCCCAGGGTCACGTGATCAATGGCCAGGGGGCGTAGCCAGCTGATCACTCAGGTTGCAGAGTGCCTGTGGGGGGGAATCTGTGGATCTCTGGGATGGGACTGGGGTGGGTGCCTTCCTTCCCTCCCCTTGTCCCTTCCTTCCTTCTTTTCTTCCTTTCCTTCACCTCCCTTAGTCTCTTCCTCCTTCCCTCCCTCTCTCCATTGTCCCTTCCTTCCTTTTTTCCTTCCTTTCCTTCACCTCCCTTAGTCTCTTCCTCCTTCCTTCCCTCTCTCCATGTCCCTTCCTTCCTTTCCTTCACCTCCTTCTTAGTCTCTTCCTCCTTCCTACCCTCTCCCATTGTCCCTTCCTTCCTTTCCTTCACCAATCTTAGTATCTTCCTCCTTCCCTCCCTTTCCCATTGTCCCTTCCTTCCTTCTTTCCTTCCTTTCCTTCACCTCCTTCTTAGTCTCTTCCTCCTTCCCTCCCTCTCCCATTGTCCCTTCCTTCCTTCTTTCCTTCACCTCTTTCTTAGTCTCTTCCTCCTTCCCTCCCTCTCTCCCCTTGTCCCTTCCTTCCTTCCTTCCCTCCCTCTTTGTCCCTTCCTTCCTTCCCTCCCTTCCATTGTTCCTTCCTTCCTTCCCTCTCTCATTGTTCCTTCCTTCCCTCTCTCTTCGTCCCTTCCTTCCTCCCCCCCCTCCGTGCCCAGGAAGGGACAAGGGGAGGGGGATAGGCTGCCAGTGCGGCTGGGGGCTTTGCTGCCGGCAAACCTGCCTGTGCACAGGCAGAGACAGAAGAGAGCTCCGCCTAGCTCACTTGCTCAGCTTCGCCGAAAGACATGCCGCTTGCTAAGTTAGCAGAAGCTCCAGGATCAGCGCCGGGCTACAGCTGATTCGCGCTTCTGCTAAATTAGCAAGTGGCTTGTTTTCTAGCGAGCAAGTTTGCTGGGCGGGAGCCAAGGAGAGCAGCTACAGCTGCAGAAGCGCGGATCAGCTGTAGAGACTCGCCCCAATCCTGGACAAGAGGGAAGGAAGGACGGAAGGACGGGAGGAAGGGACAAGGGGGAGAGGGAGGGAAGGAGGGACAAAGAGGGAGGTGAAGGAAAGGAAGGAAGGGACAAGGGGGAGAGGGAGGGAAGGAGGGACAAAGAGGCGAAGGAAAGGAAGGAAGAGACAATGGGAGAGGGAGGGAAGGATGAAGAGACCAAGAGGGAGGGAAGGAAAGGAAGTTCCAGCCAGGAGAGGCTTGCCAGCCCAGCTGCTGAGGAACAGAAGAGCACAAAGCCAAGGAGAAGAAGGTGGCAGTTTCCTCCCAATGGGGGCTCCTTTTCTCCACCCCTTCCCTGGGTTTGTGGGGAATTTCTTGTCACCAATGCTGATAGATGCTCCTTCAAGCCCGCTGCGAGCTTTCTCGCCCCCTTTGCTTCTCCCCCCTCCCCCGCTTTCATGAGGATTGTGGCGCCCTTGGGAAGCCGATCATGATTTGAAGCTTAGGAGAGGAGGAAAAGTCCCTTCCTCCTTCCCTCCCTCTTGCATCAGCTGGCGCAAGTTCGGGGCGTCACCAGGTGACGGGTGCAGGAGTTGGATGCTGCGCCGGCCTCCCCTTCGCTGACCTGTGTGCACGTGAAGTCAATCCGGTTGCTGCACAATGAGTCTCTGGGGAGGGCGGGGCCTTGCTCTGCGCCTGCGCTCTTCATGCGCCCCCTGCAGGGCACATTTGGTAGAGTTTGTGCAGACTGCTGCCAAGCAGCATATTTTCCACAAACAAGTGAGGTGGAGCAGAGGGGGGGAGGGAGAGAAGGTGGTTGACAAGCCCTGCCTACGACCATCGGAAATATGTGTTTTCCGATGGTCTTAGGCGACCCCTGTGAAAGGCTCGTGCGACCCCCAAAAGGGTCACGACCCACAGGTTGAGAACCGCTGCTCTATAACCTGACCAGCTGAGTCCAGTCTGCACCAAGGGCAAGAAAAGTGAAATGCAGAATTGGTAGCAATGAATTTCTTTCAAGAATATCAAAGATACAATATTTTTGACTTTGAATCAGCAGTAAAGATGATGACATCTTTAACGCTGACAAATGTGGACTCTTTTTCAAGGTGATGCCTAACAGGAGCCTCATTATGAGGGGTGACAAATGTAAGAGTGGAAAACTTTCTAAAGAACCTTTCAAAGTTCTGCTGTGTGCTAGCTTAACTGGAGAAAAGCTAAAACATTTGGTGATTGGTAAATTGGCAAAGCCACACTCATTCAAGAACATGCATCCCAAAGACCTTCCTGTCACTTGGAAATCTAAGAAATCTACATGGATGACTGGTGCCCTATTTGAGGAGTGGATAATAGGTATTGACTGAGAAATGAAGAAGAAACAGTCCATTCTCCTTGAAGTGGACAACTGTCCTAGCCATCCCCAAGTGAATCATCTTACAAATGTGAAACTGAAATTTTGCTTCCAAACACTACATCAAAAATTCAATCTCAAAACCAAGGCATAATCAAAACATTCAAAATGCACTAGAGAGCCCAGCTTCCGCAGTGAGTCATTGCTAAAACACAAACCTATGGTCCATCTACAAAAGCAAAATCCCAGCCCTAACCTAATCTTGACCCAGAAGCAATTTTCCAATCAGTATTGACCGAGGTACAACCCAGAGGAAAAATGCTGGAAGCAACTGATGAAGCAGAAGAATTAAGTGAGGAGGACACACAAATTGCATATATTCCAAAAGAAGAGGATGTCGGTCATTTGATAATGCAGTTAAAGTCATTTGCTGTGAAAAATGCCCAGGTATGCTGAGTGATATAGTCAGCATTGAGAGTGCTTTCTCTGCTTACCTTCATCAAAAGAATAAGACACAGACTAAAATTGACTTTTTTTCAGAAAGAATGATCAAACCATGAGAAAACAATACATATATGTATATGTATAGATTTGTATGATACAGTATTGTATGAATGATTTTCCAGTGTTTTCACTAAATGGGTTTCTGTATATACTCTAATAAAAGCTGTACAATAAAATGACGCATGTATACATATCAGTGCAGTTGTTCCATATGTTGACCACCTGTATGGTGACTTTTGTTCAGTCCCTTGGGTGGGTCAACTTTCAGAGGTTTTTCTGTAATTAATTCTACATTACCTTGTAGGGAAATATTTCTTTTATGTAAAGATGACATACTTTTGCTATGCTGGGTCTGATGGAAGGCGTAGGCTTTGCTTCTATCAGGCGAATAACTTCTGCTGCTGACACTGGAGCCAGATCTACTGTGAGGAGATTCTCTCCGGCCAATCGGTGATTCTCTGAAGTAAGGGGAATCCCTTTTATGTGGGGAGCGATCTCTTGCATAATGAGGATATATAGGTTTCCGTCGTATGCCATCTCTGACATCCCTTTAAACATTGCAATAAACAAATAAAAACATTCATTTATTCAGCAAGAGTGCCAAGTAAAAACTAATCTTCTGAATCTTTCCTTAGAGAAGGTTCTCAATTCTCTAACTAACGGCAGAAATACAATGAACTTAATCATTTGAACAGGAAAAAAATATCAACAAAACGTATAATGGAAAGAGTTACTGTCTAGAAGGAAAGTTCAAATTTTGAGCAGTCTCAAAAATAAGTTTCATTTGCTAATTCATTTTAGGAATCTGGAAGATTTTTTTAAGATCTTTTTTTATTTTTTTCATTTTTAAATATTTTCCCATTAAGGAAAAAGGACTTCATACATATTTATGAACGAAAATCTTTTTTTATATGTTCTTGGATTGCAGTAACAATTGTCTAAACCAATTTACTAAATAATAAGAAGCAGAACATTTCCTAGTGCAGCTTCACATTTTTATCAATTATTATGTTTTACTCTTATGGAAATCATTGTTCAGGGAAAAAATATGAGTTTTCCTTTGTTTCACACTATTTCATACTTTTATATAATGACCAATTGAAATCCAATGAAAACAAAATTCTACCCACTAGAAAACTGAATAACCAAAATTAAATGAAAGCACAATCTACTAGGGAAAAAACACATAAGGATAATAAACAAAACTTCTAACTCTAGAGATACTTATAAAATTAATAAGTATGGAAAACCACACTAAGTAGATCTAGATTAGGGTTGTCCATTACAGCTAAGAAATAGGTAAAGGGGTACTTTTCAATGTATTGAAGAGTTCTCACTCATCTCTAGGCTTTTACAGCCATTTTATTACATGCAATAAAAAAGAACTATTTAAAGCAACCTGAAATAAGAGGTTCTGGTTTTGCATTGCAGAGAGACAGGATGCAGGAAGGCAGAGCTCTGCCTTCTGTGTCCGATTTCGCTCTGCTGGCGGCCCTGAAAAGGGCCTAAAATTGCCCCGAAGAGGCGATGAAGGAGGGGTGCCTTATAACAAAGGCAGCAGCTTACAAAGAAACTCTATATAAAATGTTTTACAGATGGCACTTAACACCTGTGAGGTTAGTGAAAATGTTTAAAATTTGTCTAGTAATTGTTGAAATTGTAGACAAAAACCAGGCACATATTATCATCTTTGGTGGACACGTCCTAAAGCCAAAAGATTTTGGTCAAGAATATATACAGAGAAAATGACTTAAAATACATAGATTTTAAGACAAAATTATTTTTGATAGGTATAATTGTAGGAAATTATGAGAATCCCCTTTATGGATTACTGCCTTGTCGTGGCGAAGGGGCTTGCGTAACTCAATGAAGCAATAAGCTATGCCGTGCAGGGCCACCCAAGACGGACAGGTTATAGCAGAGAGTTCTGACAAAATGTGATCCACTGGAGAAGGAAATGGCAAACTACTCCAGTATCTTTGCCATGAAAACCCCATGGACAGTACCAAAAGGAAAAAAGATATGACGCTGGAAGATGAGCCCCTCAGGTCGGAAGGTGTCCAATATGCTACTGGGGAAGAGCAGAGGGCTAGTACTAGTAGCGCCAGAAAGAATGAAGCGACTGGGCCAAAGCCGAAAGGACGCTCAGCTGTGGATATATCTGGTGGTGAAAGGAAAGTCCAATGCTGTAAAGATTTTTTCTCCATAGGAACCTGGAATGTAAGGCAAGCTAGACGTAGTCAAAAAAGAGATGACAAGACTGAACATCGACATCTTAGGAATCAGCAAACTAAAATGGACAGGAATGGGTGAATTTAACTCAGATGACCATCAGGTATACTACTGTGGGCAAGAATCCCTCAGAAGAAATGGAGTAGCCTTCATAGTCAATAAAAGAATAGGAAAAGCAATACTGGGATACAATCCTCAAAATGACAGAATGATCTCTATTCGAATCCAAGGCAAACCATTCAATATCACAGTAGTCCAAATCTATGCCCCAACCACTGGTGCTGAAGAGGATGAAATTGACCGGTTCTATGAAGCCCTACAGCACCTTATAGAATTAACACCAAAAAATGATGTCCTTATCATCATGGGGGATTGGAATGCTAAGGTAGGAACCAAAAGATAACCGGAATAACAGGCAAGTTTGGCCTTGGAGTACAAAATGAAGCAGGGCACAGGCTAATAGAATTTTGTCAAGAGAATACGATGGTCATAACAAACACTCTTTTCCAACAACCCAAGAGACGGCTCTACACATGGACATCACCAGACGGTCAACATAGAAATCAGATTGACTATGTGCTCTGCAGCCAAAGATGGAGAAGCTCTATACAGTCAGTAAAAACAAGACCAGGAGCTGACTGTGGCTCAGATCATGAGCTTCTCGTTGCAAAATTTAGGCTTAAATTGAAAAAAGTAGGGAAAAGCACTAGGCCACTCAGGTATGAACTAAATCATATTCCTGATGAATATACAGTAGAGGTGACAAATAGATTTAAGGAACTGGATCTGATAGACAGAGTGCCTGAAGAACTATGGATGGAAGTTCGCAACATTGTACAAGAGGTAGCAACTAAAACCATCCCAAAGAAAAAGAAATGCAAGAAAGCAAAATGGCTGTCTGAGGAAGCTTTGCAAATAGCTGAGGAAAGAAGGGAAGCGAAAGGCAAAGAAAGAGAAAGATACACCCAATTGAATGCAGAATTCCAGAGAGTAGCTAGAAGAGATAAGAATGCCTTCTTAAATGAACAGTGCAAAGAAATAGAAGAAAACAACAGAATAGGGAGGACCAGAGATCTCTTCAAGAAAATTGGAGATATGAAGGGAACGTTTCATGCAAAGATGGGCATGATAAAGGACCAAAATGGCAGGACCTAACAGAGGCAGAAGAGATTAAGAAGAGATGGCAAAACTACACAGAAGAACTATACAAGAATGAGCTTAACATCCCAGAAAACCACAATGAGATGGTCACTGACCTCGAACCAGACATCCTAGAATGTGAAGTGAAATGGGCCTTAGAAAATCTGAGCAACAACAAAGCTAGTGGAGGTGACAGTATTCCAGCTGAGCTATTCAAAATCTTAAAAGACGATGCAGTAAAAGTGCTACATTCAATTTGCCAGCAAATTTGGAAAACTCAACAGTGGCCACAGGATTGGAAAAGGTCAGTTTACATTCCAATTCCAAAGAAAGGCAATGCCAAAGAATGTTCAAACTATCGCACCATTGCACTCATTTCACATGCTAGTAAAGTTATGCTTAAAATCCTACAAGCTAGACTCCAGCAGTATGTGGATCGAGAACTACCAGAAGTACAGGCAGGATTTCGAAGAGGCAGAGGAACTAGAGATCAAATTGTCAACATATGCTGGATCATGGAGAAAGCTAGGGAGTTCCAGAAAAACATCTACTTCTGCTTCATTGACTATGCAAAAGCCTTTGATTGTGTGGATCACAACAAATTGTGGCAAGTCCTTAAAGAGATGGGAGTACCAGACCATCTCATTTGTCTCTTGAGAAACCTATATGTGGGTCAAGAAGCAACAGTGAGAACCAAACACGGAACCACTGATTGGTTCAAAATTGGAAAAGGAGTCCGGCAAGGCTGTATACTGTCGCCCTGCCTATTTAACTTATATGCAGAGCACATCATGAGAAAGGCAGGGCTAGATGAATCAAAAGTTGGAATTAAGATTGCCGGGAGAAATATCAACAACCTAAGATATGCAGATGATACCACTCTAATGGCAGAAAGTGAAGAGGAACTAAAGAGCCTCTTGATGCGGGTGAAGAAGGAGAGTGCAAAAGTTGGCTTGAAACTCAACATTAAGAAAACCAAAATCATGGCATCCGGCCCTCTCAATTCCTGGCAAATAGATGGGGAAGAAATGGAGGTAGTGACAGATTTTATTTTTCTGGGCTCCAAGATCACCTCAGATGGGGACTGCAGCCAAGAAATTAAAAGACGCTTGCTCCTGGGGAGGAAAGCTATGGCAAATCTAGGCAGCATTCTAAAAAGCAGAGACATCACCCTGCCAACAAAAGTGCGTATAGTCCAGGCCATGGTTTTCCCAGTTGCAATGTATGGCTGTGAAAGTTGGACCATAAGAAAGGCTGAGCGCCAAAGAATTGAGGCCTTTGAACTATGGTGCTGGAGAAGACTCCTGCGAGTCCCTTGGACTGCAAGGCGTTCAAACCGGTCAGTCCTAGAAGAGATCAACCCCGACTGCTCTTTAGAAGGCCAGATCCTGAAGTTGAAACTCAAGTACTTTGGCCACCTAATGAGAAGGAAGGATTCACTGGAGAAGAGCCTAATGCTGGGAAAGATTGAGGGCAATAGAAGAAGGGGACGACAGAGAATGAGATGGCTGGATGGAGTCACTGAAGCAGTAGGTGTGAATTTAAATGGACTCCAGAAGATGGTAGAGGACAGGAAGACCTGGAGGAACGTTGTCCATGGGGTCGCGATGGGTCGGACACGACTTCGCAATTAACAACAACAATGAGAAGGAATATGTATAATTAATATTACATGTGTTGTGCAGCAAGAATTGTATTTGCTCAGCATTGGAAAGATGAAGAATTACCAACAGAGGAAGAAATAATTAAGAAAATTTTAGATTGTGCAGAAATGAAAAAATTGATACTGAACATGAAAGAGAAAGAAGACGCAGAATATTTTAGAACATGGGATACATTTTATCAATGGCTAGAAAAATGAGGTAGAGAGAAGGGAGTTTAACATGTATTAATAAGCTAAATATTGAAACCCAGACAATACGTTGCTGATAAAATATTAAGCATTTGTGACTATAAAAAAATTAATAAAATATTGAAGAAAAAAAGAAGGAGGAGGGGTGCCTCGTTGATCACCGAGAGAAGGCAGTCTCTCTGTTCGATCCAAGGAAAGCCCTCTAAACCAGGGCTTTTCAACCTTTTCACCCTTTGTACCACTTTTAGGATATGGCAACATCCGAGTACCATCAGTCGCCTAGCAAGGTGTCAAAAACTTGATGACAAAAAAAAGGAAAAAAAG